TGATTTCAACTTCTTCTATGCATAACTGCAAGTAACTTCTTCTTCTTCCGTCCTGCAACTCTTCTCTCTGCCGTCTGAGGTGATCTGAGCTCTCTGTCGTCCGGGGCTGAACTGAGCTCTCTGTTTGGCCTGCAACTTTACCCTCTGCCGTCTGAGGTGGACCCTTCTCGCTGCCGTCCGGGGCTGAACTCATCTGCTTTGTTTGGCCTGCAACTTTACTTCGGCTTGTCTGGCCTGCAGCTCTTCTTCTTGTCTGGCCTGCAGCTCTTCTTCTTGTCTGGCCTGAAATTCTTCGGCCTGTCTGGCCTGCAGCTCTTCTTCTTGTCTTCGACTTGGCTGCAACTTCTCTGCGGCTTTCGAGCAATCTTCTTCTTCTTCGACTTGGGCTGGAAGGATTTCTTGTCTTAGGATTCTCTTGCCCGCAAAGGGCGAATGAACCGGGCCCGATGCCCGCGTTCAAGCTCCCCTCGCTGCCCCGCGGTCCAGCTGCAACTGATTTCTGTCGACTGGGGTCTTGCTTTTATTGACGCCGCAACAAACTGGGGTGGGTCTGTCGGCGTCAGGGTTTTCTCGATAATTCCAAAAGTCGCATTACTTCTGATTTCCCATTATCGCTCTTATTTTCACCCCTACTTCCTCACAGTGCCTCCGGTGGGGAGGCGCATACCCATCTCTCCCGGTCTCTCGTATGTCAGGTGACCGTTTTCGACCAATGGGTCTTGATCGAGCGTCCTTTCTCCTCTTTCTCGCATATCACGTGACCGCTTTCGGCCAATGAGATTCTGGTTGGGCGTCTCCCGTACTTCGTGACGTCTCCAATCGGGCGTGGCTTATCCCGTCGTTGTCCTGGGAAAGAACACCTTGCTAAAAAAAACAAAATCTAATTTGGCCTTTTTCGCACGTACGAAAAATGACAATCTCGGCCTTTCTCACCTTCCTGGTCTCTGTCAAAACAGCCCGCCGCTAATTAGATGTGACTTCAGGAAGAATTTTCTCCGTCTTACTGGCGCTCTCAGAGCCAAGAACAATCGTTTTTCACCTCTTTGTTTTTGCTCAGACCTGATAGTCAAAAATCTTAATTATCTGAATTGAAAATGTCTTCACTTCATCATCGTGGGGGTTACAATTTTTACAGGTCAGAATCTGTATACAATTGCAGCGGTCACCTTCTCATCCCAAAAGACACCTTTCTCCGATTAATATTTCGTTTTCCATTCTTCTAAAAATCCCATTTCTCCAAATTGATAATGAGTCTTCTACACAAAAGTAGGCCAGATACTTTGACCGATATTTTTATCAATCGTACATATGTTCATACACGTTTACCAAGCCTGTTTTCTTTCTTTCTTTTAATTACTTTTAATTCTATTCTCCCAAATAACAATGTCCATTGTCACTTGAAATTCGGTCGGGCGCGTTGGCCTCTTGACACCTGTTTTCGCTAATGACCGACCTTTTGCATTACTCATTATCTTTTACTTTTTTCCTTCTTTTTTTTTCTTCCCTTAGAGAATTATTCTCGAAACTCAATTATTCTTCGTCTAAAAAAGTAACAACTGGTTAATAAACCGAATAAAAAAATTAAATCATATTTCTATGAATATTTCTTTTCTTTAGTTTTTTTTCTAATAATGCAGGGTGCCACAATAGTCATATAGTAGTGAGACCGATGTAATTATTTATGAGTTTGGTATGACCAGGAACAAAGTTTTTTCAGGGCCATTTGAAATTATATATATATATATATATATATATATATATATATGTAAGCAAATATACGGATATAAATCCGACAGTATGAAAGAAAAATACAGAAAAAACAAAAATTTGAATATGCAATTATGTAGTATTATTGTTAAAATAAAGTCGACGTCGGACGTTTCGGTCTATTTAAGACCATCTTCATGGACATTTTCATTTAAACATAATTAACATTAGAACTTATAAAATTTAACACAAAAGACGATGGACATAAGAGCCCAACTGATCCAAACAGATAACTGAAATTTTATACAGATCAGCGTTCCGTTTAAATATGATCACGTAGTCGTCACGTGGGGATGTTATTAAAACGTATTCGAAGATGATTTCAAAAAATTAAAATATTAAAAGTCGATTGAAAAATTTTGTATAAACAGTTCAAGAAATCTCTTCCGTTGATGTCGGAATACGTAGTGATCAATAGGTTCTTATTTCTTCAACAAGCTTGAAGTCCTTCCCGTTACAAGGCAAATCAAAAAATGATTTCAAAAACGAGGGAACAGTTGTAAAAAACAGTTCGATAATAAATCCATTCCTTACTTGATCAATAGATTCTATTATTCTCGTCCAAGCTTGAAGTCTTCCACGTTATAAAATAAATTCAGGTTTGTATTTCCAGTAGACAGTATGTAAGCAAATATATGGATATAAATCCGACAGTATGAAAGAAAAATACAGAAAAAACAAAAATCTGAATATGCAATGGATAAAAGTATTAATTGTTAAAATAAAGTCGACGTCGGACGTTTCGGTCTATTTAAAGACCATCTTCATGGACATTTCATTTAATCATAATTAACATTTGAACTTATAAAATATATGTTAATTATGTTTAATTGAAAATATTCAGATATTTTTGTTTTTTCTGTATTTTTCTTTCATATATATATATATATATATATATAAATGTCTGATTAGAACTTTCGATTTCCGATCAGGGGACCTGGGTTCAATTCTTACCATAGTCGATCTTTTAGGAAGGTTAATTCAGCGTGAGGCATCTTTGGAATTTGACTGGAATCCATACAAAGGGATGACGCTAGTTATGCGCTGGAAATTGGGTAGACGTAGTTCGTAGGCCGTCGATAGTTGGGCTAACACGAAAACCGATGTCATCGTGAACGAAAGTTTCAGCGTACTGGCGTTGTTCAAACCACTGATCATGTGCACTCTCCCAGAAACTGCAACCAAGATCTGTAGAGCTGTAGAATAAACTAATATGTATATATGGTTTTGAAGCATTGATTAAACTGATGACACACTTGTTTGAACTAGTGATGAATTCCTATAAGATATTCAGTTTAGATAGAAACGACTACTAAATGGTGAGCTAGGTTAGTGCTATAGTCCGGTTCCTTGTACCACGGTGATAGTCCTAGGTAGAACCAATAAAGAAGAACTCGAGCACAGGTATGGAATAACACAGATATATTACAAACAGGAATATATACAGAGAAGTAGAAGTGTTAGTATGAACAATCGGGTTTAGTAGAGAGAACAATGTAGTCTCGACCAGTATCACTATTCCAATGTTTTGTAGTAATTGTCTGAACGCGACTCTGTTTCGGAATGCCTCTGACTCGATCTGACTCGACTTGAAGTACTGACTATATATAGTCACCCCCACCGCCCACGTGGGCATCATGCGCAAACCGGTTTAACGTGGGATCTCCGAGCCCGTGGGGTCGGCCCAAAATATGCCCATTGAACCTGTATAAACGGGTTCAGGGTCGGTTTACCTCCCCGAACGGGACTCCGCCCTTCTGCGTAGCCTCGTTCGCGTTCCTCTCCGGCCGAAGGCAAAGAGTTCAACCGAACAGTCGCTCAGAAAGTGAGCGATTGACGATATTCAGTCACCACCCCACGAGGGCGTCATGTGGCACGGTTTAACGTGAGATCTCCGAGCCCGTGGGCTCGGCCAAAAAATATGCCAATTGAACCCACATAAACGGGTTCAGGGTCGGTTTACCTTCCCGAAAGAGAATCCCCCTTTCGGCGTAGCCTCTTTCGGGTTCCTCCCCGCCCGAAGGCAGAGAGTTCAACCAAACAGTCGCTCAGAAAGTGAGCAACTGACGATATTCAGTCTCCCCCCACCCACTGGGGCAACATGTGACACAAGGTCGATTATTTATTGTGGGTTTTCCGAGCCCTTGTGATCGGCCCAAAAATATGCCCATTGAACCCGTATAAACGGACTCAGGGCCGGTTTACCTCCGCGAAAGAGACTACTCCCTTCGGCGTAGCCTCGTTCGGGTTTCTCTCCGTCCGTAGATAGAGAGTTCAACTGAACAGTCGCTCAGAAAGTGAGCAACTGACGATATTCAGTCCCCCCCCCCACGAGGGTGTTATGTAGCACAAGGCCTTTTTAACGTGGGCATTCCGAGCCCGTGGGCTTGGCTAAAAATATGCCCATTGAACCCGTATAAACGGGTTCAGGGCCGGTCTACCTCCCCGAAGGAGACTCCGCCCTTCGGCGTAGCCTCCTTCGGGTTCCTCCCGTCCGAAAGCATAGAGTTGAACCGAACCGTCGCTCAAGAGTTGAGCGACGAACTCCTTGCCTACTCCTGTGGCTCAGTATTTATTAAGTATGGAATAGTTCATTTTTATTATTATGGGTAAGATCCCATAACTGTTAGACTTGTTGACTATTGCCCCACTATTGGAACGTCTTAGTAAGTGTATGAAAACTGTGTTTAGTTTTTAATTATATCAAATATACACCTGAATTGGACAATGTCGAATCGCATTTTTCCCTAACCGAATTGGTTAACTCATCGTACATGAATGACGAGCTCCTGGGATAATGGTGATGCGTCCGAGTCTTGCTTTCAGCTCCTTTGTTCTGATTTAATATTGTTTTAACATTGGAGAGTGCGTAGCCTAGAATTATGAGAGAACGGGGGAAAAAGCTAGAAATGAATGCCGGAAATGCTTCAACTCAGAATGCATAAAATTATGGCTTCACGCTAGACCCCGGATTAGAACGAGTAGATTTTACGATGACCACAAGGTTTCATTAACAACACACGCACAGATGTGCATACGCATATAGACAGATACATATAGAGTCACACATATATATACATACGCAGAAAGTTGCGCACATATAGTAAGACGCATACACACGCACGACTATAGACACACACACTCGCACGAATATAGAGGCAAACACATATACACTTCTATATCAGGCTTTCGTCGAGAATGTCCATCATACTGAGCCAACCTCGAGTTTCGGATCAATGGTGTGGAAAAATGTATTGTTCGTCAGCGGCGATTTCGAGAGAGACGGCGATTCGGAGACCTGCAGTGATGGGCCGAGGCGACGGGCCGTTCCGCTGTGTTTCTGTGGAAGCAAGCAAGATTCAGACTGTCGAGGGAACAAGTGACTCACTGTTGTCATTAAGATAATGGAAATAGAATATTCTCTTGTGCCGAACGCCATGAAAGCAATGCAAATGTCCAGCCAATGGTTTCGTATTTAATTTCAGCGGAAATCTCTAAATGCTGAGGAATTCTTGGCACTTGTTTGTTTATCAGTATTGATGATCAGTAAACATTTACGCATATATTCGGATATACAGGGAGACACAGAAAGAGACACCCAGTGAGATAGATAGATAGATAGATAGATAGATAGAGAGAGAGAGAGAGAGAGAGAGAGTGGGGGGAAGAGATGTTGTGGGAAAGAATTGTAATAGATATGAACAGGCATACATATGAACATACTAAGATAGATAGATAAATAGAAAGACACGTAGATATGAACAGACTTAGATATGAACAGAGATAGATCAAAAGATAGATATCAACATACTAAGGTAGATAGATATGAACAGACTGAGTTAGATATGAGCGGACTGAGCTAGATAAATATTACGAAAGACACATAGTGATTTTCCAAGCTTAGTTTAGATGTGATACAAGGCCGAAAGTAGGAGGACCCAGTGAGGATCGAACTCACTATTCAGTCGTAATTGTTTTAGCGAGACAAGCTAGCTAACCACAACACCGAGAACAGAATGAAGCAGATCGATAGATAGATATGAAAATACGAAAATAGACAGATAGATTTGAAGTGGTTTTAATAAAGATAGATAGATAGATAGATAGATATAAACAGACGAATTTTGTACTGTAAAAAATGATGGAGTGAAAGACGTACACAAACGAATCTTGATATGAATAAACAAAGATAGTAAATATATATATATATATATATATATATATATATATATATATATATATATATATAGAGAGAGAGAGAGAGAGAGAGAGAGAGGGAGAGAGAGAGAGAGAGATAAACCTAGTGAGCCAGACAAACCTACCTAGGTTTCCCCTAAGCGGATCGTCAGGGAAAGCTGGCTCTTATTATTGGCAAATCAAAAATTCGAGGGTTTTTCGAAACGAGTATAGTTACCTATATTTGTGTTTATATATATATATATATATATATATATATATATATATATATATATGTAGAGAGAGAGAGAGGTGGCGTGGCAGAGATCAGGACTCAAAATAAGAGCAACGATAATTGTTGTTTTTTCAACTTGCATCTTCTTTGTTTTTCATTGCCCTTTCTCCTAATAACGTTTCTCCGTTTCCCACGCTCTGCTTTATATATCGTCAGTAACCACTAGCTGCTAAGTGGCTTTATCACCCAAAATTGGATGAAATTATAAAAAAAAAAGCAAATAAGAAAGCTATCTATCTAGCTAGCTAGCTAGCTAACAAGATAGATTATGAAAAGATTGTTGTAGCATACCTACGGACGGTAATGGGTCTCTTCCCATTTACATAAACACAGTAGTAAATACTGTATGTTGGTCTGCAGTCTGTAGTTGGAGAGAGGGTCCCCAGACGAAGCTATATCGAAGGGCAGAGGCTTGTCTCGGAAAATAGCTACCCGGCCCCGTTTATATGGGGTCTATGGGGAATTTTGAGCCAAGCCTACAGGCTTGGATACTCCACATTAAATTCGTCCTTGTGCCACATCTGACCGCGTAGGGCGGTTGGTAGATAACCTGAAGTTGGAGATTCATTGTGGAATTCACTTGACTCACTTCTAGGTGTTGACTACTTCTTCTACGCTCCGCTGGCGAATCTTATATGTGCTGTTCTTGTCCTAAGTATTATCGTTCATTACCAACCTTCGTTTGATTATTCTATTCAGTATCCTTCTCTACGTTACAATACTGAGATAGATAGATAGATAGATAGATAGATAGATAGATAGATAGATAGATAGATAATTGAGAGAGAAAGAGTAAAAAGGGGATTTAGCGAAGCTGTGTGAGCATGACTGAGAGAAATAGAGAGAAAGAATATGAGGTAGATAGATACATAGAGTGAGAAAGAGTGTCAAAAATAAGAAATATTCAAAGAAAAAATAAAATAATCGGATGAGAGAAACAGGGAACGAGAAAGAGAGGACAACAATCGTTACATTTGATTTTACCAGATGTCAGTATCTGTTGCGTCATTTAATTCAAATGTTGTATACCCAGTGAGAATTAAACTCGCAACTAACGATAAAAGTAAAACTTGCTTATAATGGCTTACAATTAAACCGCGCTGAAGCAAGCAAAAAAAAAATTAAAATAAATTAAAAAGACTGAAAAAAATGTGTGTAGTATTTATCGCATGCAAATTAGATAGACAAATATAAATAGAGAACAACTAGCGAACATAAGGTATAGCTATACATAGCAAACCCGGTTGCTATTCAGGGCACGGCGAAGTATACTACGGCTGCTACTACGCAGAGAGATAGTCAAAACATAATAGAGTAATAAAAGAAGAAAGAAGTGAATGATAGGAGAAAAAAAGAAGAAAAGAGAGAGAGAATAAAAACACAGATAAGCTGTGATATAAAAAGAACTGTAAAATATTAAAGTTAACTATATCTATCTGTATGTTTGTATGCATTTACATGTACATTGGGCGTGTGCACTTTTGGGGAAACTATTTTAACGCAAAGGTCCGAAAACTAGTTAATTGGTTTAGTAATCTAGATTTTACCACTTGCTCCATTTGTAGCTTTTATTGTGATGACCGATGGTAGATGAGTACTGGCATGTGAAGGCATGAGCCGTTTCATAAAATTTCACCACATTACAAAGTGTTAGATTTTTGCGAAAGTAGACCTCTTCCAATGAACGGAGGAATTTCCTTCACATTTTCTACATTCAACATCATCACTTGATAGGAGACCAGAAGTGTTGAAACAAAATGGCTATTTTTGTTGTGATTTTATAACATATTTATGTTATGATTTTTAAATAAATAATATATATATATATATATATATATATATATATATATATATATATATAGGGGAGATCACATATAGATGAAATATGAATTGGAATCCCGCAGAATCATTGATAAGGGACAAATTGTAAACGGTTAAAATTCTTACTTGTCTTGCTTTTACTAGATCTACTCAGAGAATGAAATATGGAAGAAAAAAAAGAAGAAAATTCTAGTGTTTTTAATGTGTTATTTGCTTCTCATTGGTTAAGCAGACTTCACGTGCATCAATTTTCTTAAACAGCGTGTGTATAATTCATATGTATTTGTGTCTGTAGCATGTTTCTATTTTGTCTATGTGGGAGTATAGTGTATATTCGTATCTGCCTTTCTCTTTCTTTCTCTCTCTCTCTCTCTCTGTATACTGTCGCGTCTTTCTTTCTATGGCCGTCTCCTTTCAGGATGTAGGCGATCATGGCTCTCCACCTGCCTCTATCGCTTGCAGCTCTCAACAAGTTCCTTCCCTCTGCTTCTTCCCACAAACTACGTTCCGTCATCTACTTGCTTACGCTCGCTAGGTATGTCATCCGTCGTTTACCCTTGTCTCTCTCCCAATATTCGACTTGTGGGTATCAGATTCGCTAGTCCTCCTTTCCTCATTACGTGTCTCAGGAACTCCAGCTGCCTCTTCCTGTTGTTCAGTATAAGCCTGATCCTTGTTTGCATCCACTCTAAGACCTCATCTTTGCCCACAGGCTCGGCCGTTGGTATCCTTAGCATCCTTCTGTAGAACCTCATCTCCGTCACCTCAAGCCTCTTCCTCATCTTTGATGAAATCGTCGAAAATACGCTGCCGTAAAGAACAGATGTCACGTAACAGCTCAATATCCTTTTCTTTGTTACCAAAGAAATCCTCCTATCTTGCAATACTCTGCCCAGCTTTTGGAATGCGTCCTTGGCCATTCCAATAGGTCTGCAGATCTCAGTGCCACATTTACCGTGCTCTGTCAGAACGTCTTCAAGATATGTAAACTTCCGCGGCTGCTTGATTCTAGTTTGTCCGACCTGCAAATCACATTTTAGGCTCATCTTTTTTAGTGGCTGTTCAGTTGGGGACGTTTGGCGTGGAGGTGAAACACTTTAAGTTACACTGGTTGTGGTAACATGTAGACATATTCTAAACACCTCAAGTATGGATTTTTTTAAAAATTGGTGATTCTCTGTTGGCGATTATTAGATGATTCGCAAATGTAACTTTTTCTTCATTTTAAGGAATTTAGGTCATAAATCCCGTCATTAGATATAGTGTTTGGTCTATTTTTTTCTTTAACTATATTTCCGATTGTCTTGGAGGTATTGCTAAATATCCTAGTTTTGGAAATATTTTTTTATAGATCGGTACAGAAAGATTTTCGTTGGATTTTTCAGAAACCACCACAAATAATCCAACATAAAAATTGCTCTTCCGGTCCATAAAAGTATACACCTGCACAAAAGATATATACAAGAGAAACATAGAATTATAAACACTTCAAATTTGTGCTTCACTCTATCGTCCTGGAGGATTTCAATCCATATTTTATCTATATTTGATAATTTAACCCTTGAAAATTTATTTCAATTGAGCACTGTTGAATGACAAGCTAATTCTATAAACAACTGCCACCTGCATTAATGCAAAGCTCTTCGGTAAAAATGAATCGAGCCCTATGGCTGATTGGCATTTGTTTACATTCGTAAAAACAATACGTTAGATTTACCTCGCTCATTCTCTCGAATGGTAGAAAATCTGACTGACAATAAATAATTCGGGTTTCAATCCTGGCATTCGGATGTCTAGTCGCACTGAAAATCTGTGATACAGTGAAACAGTACGGTCTGCCAATGATTGATATATATATATATATATATATATATATATATATATATATATATATATAAGCGATAGAAATTATTAGGAGGACTTGAGATAATTATAATTAAGTAATTCATCGATTCTAGAATCAATGTCAACAGAATGCAGAAAGCGCTGGATGGCCGTTTCTTCCTATATTTGGGAGTCATCAGCAGTGCGCATCCACTACCGATCGTTGGTACACATGCCTGATAACGTAACCGGCTTTCAATTCTCGGTAGTGGATGCGCACTGATGATGAGTCCCAAATATAGGACGAAACGGCCGTTCAGTGCTTTCTGCATTTTGTTGAGTTTTATTCTAGACTCGATGAATGACTTAATCATATATATATATATATATATATATATATATATATATATATATATATATATATAATCATTTATTCGAAATTTATAATATAAAAATGTTTTAAAATCATATATATATATATATATATATATATATATATAGTTGCGTTGATATGAATATATTAACTCTATCACTGATATTGAGCGCTCTCCAAGATGTACCGCGCATATATGAAACAAATAATATCTATAAAAATTGCATACATATATATATATATATATATATATATATATTTATATACATACATATCATACATAAACATAAATATTATATATATTGTTGGGGCGCACCCACCTTCTAACTAGAAATGGACTGGTCCCTCTTATATAAGTCAGCTCTAGAGAGAGGACGGGAGAGCGAGAGACGGAGCGTCAGCAGTCCAGATAAGCTTACCCGTTACATACCGTTGGACTATAGACTTTGGATATTGTTTCGTACTAACCAACCTTCGTTCTACTAATCACCCTATTGTTAATTGCTTTTACAAATATACCAGTATTTTCCTCTACAACTGTGTTTGTCTTGATTCATACACCGACACGCGGGAAATTCACAACATCTCAAAATCTCAACATATATATATATATATATATATATATATATATATATATATATATATATAGTTTATACGTTTTTTTATAGATATAAATATTTAGGTAAATACTCTTTTTATAATTAAGAGTATTAACAACACCTGACTGAATATCCAAGAAATTCCATAGAAAATGTAAGTAAATGGTATAGCGCGACAGAGTGTGATGGTTCCGTGTAGAAAATTCTTGGACATTCAGGCCGGTAAATGTCGATAATACTGTCTATTATAAACAGAGCATTTACTTATATATTAACGTATAGACAAAAAAAAAAAAATTAACGTATTAGACAATAATTATATTAAAGTAATTGTTGGACTTAGTCCATTTCATAATATATATATATATATATATATATATATATATATATATATATATATAATTTTGGGATTTGAAGGAGAAATGTTTGATACCATAGATAGTTTGGAAGTTTCCGCACGTACTCCTAATATTCTTGGAGTTATCTGCGACTTACGTTTAGAAGAAAAAAATATAATAATAAAATACAATAATCAAAGCCAACTACTGAATCAGAGGAATGAATTAGTGTTAAAATGTCGTTATAAAAACAAATTCAAATTTCAATAACTTATTTATCAACTATATATTTCTGTATTATTCACTCCCCTCTAACTCTTCATTTGCCGACATTATAACTAATTCTAGTTTCTATATTCCCACATCTGTACCTCTTTACACTATATCTATAATTTTTAAACTTTCCCCTACTCTTAGATCTCCCCTAACGCTCTTTCTATTAATCCTTTACATCCTTTTATCTCTATAATTTAAAGTTATTTTTAAATCCCTTTTATTCCTCTTTTTAAATTAATATTTCGTTCTTCATATAATCTCTGATTAATGCCATAAGGTTAATATTCGGTTTTAATTTTATAAAACTTCCCTTTACGACAAATACCTTCCACCCTCGCCTGACCCCTGTCTCGTGCCTTTCGTCTGAGTGAAACATTGAAATAGATACATTCTCTATTAGTTTTTCGACGGTTTATTTTTTTTAGCTTTCACAATTATATTTTTATTTTTGAGACAAATTCAGTCCACACCAGGGTTGATGAGATAGAAGACCGATATCTTCGTCTGCCGAAAGGGCTATTCCCCATATGAGATGATTTCGGATTTTATTGTTTATTAATTTTTTTGCTGTGTAATAATAAATATATTTAGATCTTTTTGTGGGTCTTTTTATGATTTTTGCTGTCTTTAAAACCCAGTAATTTTAAAAATTACTCCAAAATTCGCTTGAGGATGAAATGGAACTAATGTCTTTAATTTAATTACAAAATTAAATTCGGACCTTCCATTTTTGAAACATGGTTAGAATTGTGTAGCGGAAAAACAATATTTTAAATCAATTAATTTATAATATATATATATATATATATATATATATATATATATATATATATATATATGTGTGTGTGTGTGTGTGTGTGTGTGTGTGTGTGTGTGTGTGTGTATGATTAAAATGTGGATGATATTATTACTTTTTTTGTGTATATATATATATATATATATATATATATATATACACATCTCTATGAAATCATGATTAAAATGTGGATGATATTATTACTTTTTGTGTGTATATATATATATATATATATATACACATCTCTATGAAATCATGATTAAAATGTGGATGATAGTATATATATATATATATATATATATATATATATATATATACTATCATCCACATTTTAATCATAATATTAGTATATATATATATATATATATATATATATATATACTATCATCCACATTTTAATCATGATTTCATAGAGATGTAAGTAATTAGAGATAATTTTTTTAATACGTACCTAATAAATAAAAAATCGCACGCAATTTACTCAGACATTGTCTTTTAGAAAATGAACACCTCTGAGAATTATCTGATCTTTTTCTCTTCTTGAAAAATATAATTAATAGCAAAATTAAATTACTAAAAAAAAAAAATGAATGCTTTTG